CAGGGTGTCGGCTGGAAGAGTGAACAAACAAAAGAAGGACCCCTCCCAAAAAATCTATCATGGGGACAGAGACACTCAAGACACAAACCCAGAAGAAGAGAATGAAGCCAAAACATCTACCATCAAAGCCCCAAAGAAAAACACAACTTGGGCACAATCTCAATTCGAACTGCTCAGAGAAGAAGGTTTTTTGTTTGTTCGTTTGTTTGTTTTAAATAAATGAAATAAGAGTGCTATAGAAAAAAAATGGATAAGAAATAAGAGCTGTGGAAGAAAGAATTAAGGAATTAACAACTCGCATGCATGAGGGGTATAAAATATTGCCTAAGCAACAAATTCCCCAAAAATCAGAATGGACCAAATTGAAGCCAATGACTCCATGAAACAACAAGAAATATTAAAATCAAAAGACTGAAAAAAAAAAAACAGAAGAAAAAGTAAAGTATCTCACAGCAAAAACAAATGACAGAGAAAAAAGATAGGAGAGAAAAATTTAAGGATTACCTCACTACCTAAAAGCCATGACCAAAATGACATATTTTTTTCTTAATTTCTTTTTTTTTTGTTTTTAAATTCAGTTTATTTTATTTTCAATTCTGAATTCTCTCCCTTCCCTCCCTCCCTCACCCATTTCCAAGGCATGAAAAGCAAAACCCATTACAACTGTGTACAGTAACAAAAAAACAATTCCCACATTAGCCATACCCAAAAAAAAGAAAAAAGAAAGAAAAAGAGAGAGAAAGAGAAGAAAATATGCTATAATGTGTATTCTGAGTCCATCAACTCTCTATCTAGAAGCGGAGAGCATGATTCATCATGAGCTAGACATCATATTTCAAGAAATCTTAAAAGAAAACAGCCTAGATCTCTTAGAACCAGAGAGTAACAGGCAAATAGAAATAATCTACTTGTCACTTCCTGAAAATAAGAACTTCCAGAAAACATTACAGACAAAAAATCCAGAGATTTCAAGATTTCAGGTCAAAAATATAATGCAAACAGCAATTCAAGTACTGAAGAGCCACCGATGACTCACACGGTGTGTGAGGATCACACACTATTTAGCGGCCACCATCCTAAGGCAGTGGAGAGCTGGGAATACAGTATTACAGAATGTAAAGGATATACGATTACAGCCAAGACTAATTTACTCAAATCCTACAAGGGAAAAAGGAAATAGAGGACTTCCAAGCACTCCTGATTAAAAAGACCAGAGCTACAGAGAAAGGATGACATTCAAATAACACTCTATCAACTGGGTCCCTTAGCTGCCCAAGTTCCAGACAACTCTGAATCCAGGGCCAGGGCTTGTTCCAAAGACAGCAAGGTGGTACAGTGGATAGATTTCCTAGGCCTGGAGTCAGGAAGACCTGTGTCCAAATCCAGTCTCATACACTTCCTAGCTGGGTGACCCTGTACAAGTCACTCCACCTCTCTTTGCCTTAGTTTCCTCAATCGTAAAATGGGGGTAATAACAGTGCCTATCTCCCACGGTGGTTGTGAGGATTGATTAAGATATCTGTTAAGTGACTCTTACAGTGCTGGCACACAGTAGGAGCTGTATACGTGTCTATTCCCTTCCCTTCTCTTTCCTTTCCCCACTGATCTCTGCTGCTTCAAGCTCTCTCACTCATCCAGTATCCAATCAGCAGCTAATTCTTACTGACCCCAACTCCACAGCACCTCTGATTTTTGCTCTCCCCTCTCCTGCCATGGCCTTGACCCTAGTTCAGCCCCTCATCACCTCTCTTCTGGACTACTCAAAACCAGGAGTGAGGAGAAACCAAAAAAGATAAACAGGATGAACGATAAAGAATGAAACACGCATAAACTGCTTACATTCAAATGAAGAGACGATTCATGTGCACTGCCCCCACCCCGATCCCTATCACCATCAGGGTCAGAGAAGGAGGCCTTGGAATGCTTCTGCTATGTCTTGATGATTCTAAGAGATGAATGGAAAGAGAAGAGAAGAGGAGAAGAGAGGAATCCCCTGGTGGAGAAAGAGAAAGGGAGGTAAGGGGAAATTATCTCACATAAACAGGGTGTTCAAGTAGACACCCTTCCAAACACGGAGAAAGGGGTGGAAGAGTGTGACCTATGAACCTCATTCTCATCTGAACTAGACAAAGAAGGGAGGAACACACACACACACACACACACACCCCATAGTACAAAAATACAAGGAAAATAGGAGAGAAAGAGGAGAAGGGGGAATTGGAGGGAGGGTAAATTAAAGGGTGATTAGGCCTAAGCAAAACTAAAGACATACAAAAATATGTATAGCCACACTTTTTGATGTGACAAAGAATAGGAAAACTGAAGGCATGCTCACCAATTGGGAAACAGCTGAACAAGTCATGATCTATGAATGTGATGAAATTCTAATGGGCTGTAAGATACAAAGGGTACAGTTTCAGAGAAACTTGAGAAGACCTGTATGAACTGATACTGAGTGAAGTGAGCAGAACCAGAATAATTTATACAAAGAAAACAATATTGTAAAGACAAACAAGTCTGAAAAAAATTAGGGACTCTGATGGCCAACCATTATTCCAGAGGACTGATAATGAAACATTATCACTCAACTCATGACAGAGAAGTGAAGGACTCAGAATTCAGAAGAAACATATAGATTTAGATTTATAGTTTCTGAACACAGCCAAATCAGGAATGTGTTTTGACTATGTGTTTGTAATGGGGGTTTTGTTTTTCTGTCATTCTTGTTTGGGGAAGAGGGCATGGGGTGAGAGGGACAGAAAACAGATTTTTACTCATTTTTTAAAAATAAAATATAATTTGGCAGCTAGGTGACACAGTGGATAGAGCATTGACCCTGAAGTCAGGAGGACCTGAGTTCAAATCCAACCTCAGACCAAACACTCGACCCGTACTAGCTGTGTGCCCTTGGGCAAGTCATTTAACCTCGACTGCCTCACTAAAAAGAAAAAAAATTTAAAAAATTAAAAATAAAAATAAAAATAAAATATAATTTTACAAAAAGACAAAAATCAACCAACAAAAATTTATTTTTAAAATTTATTTTTTTTTCAACATTCACTTTTATAAGATTTTGAGTTCTAGTTTTTCCCCCTCCCTCCCCTGCCTCTCCTCTGACAGCATGCAATCTAATATAGGCTCTACGTGTATAATCATATTAAACATATTTTCATATTAGTTATGTCAACAAACATTTATTAAGTGCCTATCATGTGCCAGGCACTGTGGACTACTCTAACAGCCTTCTAATTGGTCTCCCTGCTGCCAGGCTCTCCACTTACTCACAGCTGGAAAGGTAACTGTCCTCCAGCCCAGGCCTGACCCCTCTGCTCCAAAGCCTTCAGATGTTCCCAGTTACTTTCTCAATAAAACAGGACAAGCTCCTTAGCCAGGCATCTAAGGCCCCTCCTGTCCATTCTTTGTACCTCATTTCACACTTTCCTGTACTTTTGTGTTCTATGACAAAATGAACTGCTGGTCATTCCCTGATCCCTGCTCTTCATTCCCCTCCTCCTTGAAGTCAGCCAGGACATTGCCCAAGCCTGGAAGGTCCTCTTTTACCACCATCTCTCAGAATCCCTGTCTTCCTTCAAAGCTCGGCTCCAATGTCCACTTCTCCAAGAAGCCTGCCCCTTTATGCCTCAAGGGGCTCATCCCTTTCCTTCTTCCACTTTCAGCGTCTGAATTTATCTGTGCACACACTGTGTCCTATCAAGCCCCACAAAAAAATGTAAATGCCTTGAGTGCAAGGCCTGCCACTCCTGTCTTTGTACCCCCAGCAGCCAGTAGGGTATCACCAGGCTGAACATCAGAGGGTCAGCCTACAAGCCAGGTCTCCTGACAGGGGTCTGGGATCTGGGAGCAGAGGAAGGAAAAGGTCAAGGGAAGGACTGGAGCTTAGCAGGCAAGTCTTGCCCCTGGCCTGAATCCAGCCCGCCAAGAGGCACTGCAGAGGTCAAACCCAGCTCCCTCCCCACCCTCAGAGCCCCAGCAGGCCACCCTCAGGGCCCATGGCCTGCACTTCACTGAAGGCAGTCACAAGAAACCACGTCTGGATAGAAAGGATTCTGAAAGGGAAAGAATGCGCTCCGCAGGAGGCAGGAAGCCAGGGTCCTGCAGAGGTCCCATGAAGGCCCTGAAGCCTCCCAGGGAGCCCGAAGACAGTGTCCTTTTTCATGTCACCAGCTCCTTCTCCACAAGGAGCTCCCTAGACAACCCACAAACTGCTTTCCAAAGGGCCCACAGGCAGTGTCATGCCATGAAAAGAGCTCTGGGAACAGAGGTAGAAAGACTTGGGTTCCAATCCCAACTGTGACAAGAGTGCAGGACCTCAGGAAAGTCACTTCATTGGACTGGGCCTCCGCTGCCTCACTTGTCAAACTGAGATCACCGCCGCTGCACGGAAGGCAGTCTCCAAGGTCAGACATCTGGTCTGCAGCCTCTCTCTGTCAAACGCTGTCTGGGTGACCTGAAATCACAGGCCTGGCCCAAAGAAAATGACGTGCTTGACTGAGCTCACAAGAGACAACGAGGGGTAGTGGGCAGGGAGCTAGGGCTGGAGCCAGGAGTCTCCCCTCTGACCACACCGTGCCAGGACCCTTCACCTCCCGGTGCCCCAGGTGCTGACTGGCCATCACTCAAGGGTCTTGACTCGCTAGGAGAGTTCCACAGTTCTGATGCAAAGAAAAACAACTCAGAATAACTCATCTGACAAGAGGCAGTGTGGCCCAGTGGACAGAGCCAGCCTTGGAGTCAGAAAACCCAGAGGTCAAGTCCCACTTCTGACACCAACTGGCGGCTACGTGACCCTGGGCACAGCCTACCAGAGATATCCCAGGTCTGGTTCAAAACCCAATCCAAACCCAGGCTGTGCGAGCCTCCAAGGGGTGCCCCCCACCTCTCCTGCCACAGCAAAAGCATGGTCCAGAGAAAGACCACAGCAGTCCCAGCTCACATCTCTCCAACCACCTTTGGAGGCAGACAATGCAAACAAGAAGAGACCCATTCAAAAAAATTTTTTTAATTTAAAAAAATAACAAAATAACAAAAATAATAATTTTTTAAAAATAGACCCATTCTACCAAAGAAGAATTGAGTTGACAAAAAAAGCCATGACAAGCACAGGCTGAAGCCAGGGGCTGGAGGACGGCAGGTCACCACAGGAGTGGCCGGGAAGATGCCAGGGGGCTGGGTGGCATGTGCACCCCAGGACGCACCAGGGCAAGGAAGAAATATAACCAATAGAGGAACAGAAGCAAGTCCGAGAGAAGGCGCCCAGCCACTGCACAGTGACTGAAGGCACAGACCTTCCCCAAACCAATCAAATCTTCAGCCTAGGTGGGGGAGGCAGCCGAGCAGACAGCCCAGGCACCAAGCTGGGACCAAACTGGCTCTCCCTGCATCTTCCTACCTCTGAAAAATTCCCAGCCTCCAGGCCTCCACCCCAGCCTCTCTCTCCAATCAGAGTGCAGATTCACTGGCTTTTCCTTTTAAGTAAAAGCTGCCCTGAATAATTCTAGCTGCTCAAGCAGAAATTAATGATGTCCATGTCCTGAACACACAGGACGGCAGGCCAGCACATCTCAGGCACAGCTCCATACGTCTCTGCAAGGCTCAGGAAGAATCAACCAGGGAACAAAGGCCAGCAGGATCCCTGGGAGCCCAGAGCTAGCCACCCATTCTCACTCCAGGTTAAGGCAGGGTGAGCTTCACAGCCAGGGACAAGAGCCTGCCACCCTTCAAACCTTAATGTCCTTTTCTGTAAAATGGACATAATTCTTCTACTCTTCACTTCACAAGAAATGGAAAAAGCTCTGGAGAAGAGCAGAGAGAACGAGCCAGAGGACTGGGCTCCTGAGAAGGACAAAAGAACAAAACTGTTCTGACCTCGACGTGCTGCCTCACAATTCTGCCTCTTCGTCCCAGTGGCCCAAGTATGTCCACTTCCCTCAGATCCTAACTGAGCCCCCTGCCTGGCTCTGTCCTTGGCCCTGACACTCCCTTCTGTATCACACTGACTTATGCCCACACCACACCCTCCCCATTCCACTGTCCCCATCAGTGATCCTTCGGTGTCCCTTGGGCAGGGCTGGGCTCTACACAGCACAGTGGGTACTGCATAAATGCTGAGCTGACTCCTTGATCCCAAAGAGAAGAGACCCTGGCCCTGGCTACCTCCTGGAGGGTCAGGGGCCTCTGACTCTGGGCAGCCAAATTAAATGCCACAACCTGACCAGGCAGCTATGCTCTACAAAGTCCTGTGCTAGGCACAGAGGGAGAGAGAAAGAAAACAAAGCCCAGCCCCCAAGAGCTTGCCACCCAATGGGGGAAATGCTATACACAAATAAGACATAAGTCATGAGGTGACAGGTGCAAGGGAGAGAAAGGGTCAGGAGGGAGCTGGGAGCTTGCTGGAGAAGGCAGGCAATCCGAGCAAGCTTTCTGGAAGAGGGAACACCAGCGGCAGATGTGAACGGTCCCAGGGGCGTCAAGTCCAGCCCAGGCATGGCAGACAGAGGGCAGAAGGAGCAGTGAGCCACACCCAGAGAGGGTACAGCCTCAGAGAAGGCTAGCAAGGTCAGCCAGAGCCAAATCATGGAGGGCCCGAGATGCCAAGAAAAGGAATTGAGACTTTACTGAGCAGTAGATGGGGAGAACTGTGATGGAAGTCGGGTGACGAGCAATAATTAAGTGCCAACTGTGTACCCAGCACTGGACTAAGCACTGGGGCTACAAAGACAGGCAGAACCAGAGCGCGCCTGCCCTCATGGAGCTCACAGTCTAATGGGAAAGACCACAAATCAACACCCATGTACATGCGAGACAGAGACAGGGCAACTGGGACGAGCTGCCTGACGGACTCTCGGGGTGGGGTGACACGGGAGGTAGAAGGCATGCCAACTTCCTCTTCAGGGAACTTAGATCCTTGAGGTTTTCTACAGAATCTGGGTTGGGAGGAGAAGAGGAAAGCTGTAGTCCACTCTAATGCAGAAGGCACTGAATGCCACCCCCAGCAAGGAGCCCAGAGTGGCCTCCCTCGGAAATCTGCTTTATGGCTGGATAGCGCTAACCCTACATTTGGTCCACAAGCTGAACCTGGGCCCCCCTGGACCTCGTCTGGCCTCTGGGAGCAGGCTGACCAAGGCCAGCCTCTGCTCCGTAGACAGCCTTTCAAACACCTGAAGATGACCGTCCTGTTCTGCAGGCTACACATCCCTACCTTCGACTGCTGCCCATAAGGCCTGACTCCCTGGTGAGTCCTCTGGACAGACACCAGTTTGTTGACCCAGCCTCCAAAGGAGTGCCATCTTCTGCCTATTGTAGGAAGGAACCCTCTGTGGTCCCAGGCATTTTGCTTAGCCCAAGATGCCAGGAGTTTAGGGTAGCCTTGTCTAATCCTGCTGCTCCCACCCAGTACTGAGAGATGTGTGAGCCTCGGCAGGACTACATGTGGGTATGGGTGTGCTCCGTTACCAGCATGCCCTGATTACATTTCACCTTAATTAGATTTGGGCCATTGTTCTAAGCTGGTCTTCAAGCCAGCTTCCCTGGCTCCCAAATCCGCAGGTTGTAATATGAGCTCTCTCCCCAACTCCCTCTGGGCCAACCCACCTGCTTCATCACCAAGGACAGTGAGGTTCCCGCACAAAGCCACACAGGGAGAAAGCACCATCAGTGGGAAGAAACCCAAGTCCTGACACTGTAGCCACTGAGCCACACTCCCTCTGCCTCAACCAAGATCAGAGAGAGTAAATGCTGGTTCTCCTGATTCCGGGTTTCACAGTTCTGTCAAAGGCACCCCCAAACAGATTTGGGCTTGTCACATGAAAAATGGGCATCTGGGAGGAACTGTTTGGTTCTAAGAAAGAGAAGACACGAACACAGCCAGAGCAAGGGATCAGAAGGATGGGGGATGGCTGCTGGGGTGGGGCGGGGAGTCTGGCAAGGCCCTGCAGAGAGCGTCTCCTGACAAGCCTGGATGCCAAGGGAGACTCCCATCTCCAGACAGCAGAGAGGATCTTCAGCCTGGACAAACCCCGCTGCAGGAGGAGGACAAGGAACCACTTTCTCCGCCAGCCCAGGAGGCAAAAAAAAGGACTCTCGGCAGAGCCAACCACAAGCAGTTTCTGACGCTCAGTGACCCAGGCCTAGCAAGGTGAAGCGAGGCATCAAATGAGGGATGGAGCATCTGCAGCCTTTCCTCTCTAGCCTCTAAAAAAACAAAGAGAAAAATACCAAATGCAAGGCACCAACCAAGTCCTGCAGCCTCTGTCTCCACCCTTCCCGAACGCACCGAAGAACTCCTATGAGCTCAGAACAACACAAACGACTCAGCCTGGCATTCAAGGCCCTCCACAAACCAGCTCCCCTCCCCTAAGCAGCCTTACTGCAGAGCCCCTCTCCATCCAGCTTCTGCTTGAAGGCCCCCCAGGAAGAGAGTGGCCCCTCCACACTGGTTCTGCTGCAAGCACTGATGGGGACACACAAAGACAAAAGAGCCTTAAATGACTGAGGAGGGGGCAGGGTGGCCCTGGCTAAATGACCACACACCCAGGATGGCCTACCCCAGACAAGACCTTCTGGTGGCCCTTCACCACAGCTTCCTTCATCGCTGGGAGGTTTTCTCTTTTATCGCGCTTACATCAGCCTGGGCGATTTTCATAGCTCTCTGATTCGCCTTGTGGGAGAGGGTCAGAACAAGTCTGACCACCCCCCCCCCACACATGACAGTCCTATAAATATTGGAAGGCAGGTCTCACATCATCCCCTTTAGCCTTTGACTCTGAAGAGTCAACATCCCCAGGTCCTCAGATAGCATGGACTCTGGGCCCTCCTCTGGACACCTCAATTTGTCAATGTCCTTCCTAACGGAGGGCAGCTAGGTGGTACAAACACTTACCAGCTGTATGACCCTGGGCAAGTAGTCACTTTGCTCTGTGTGCCTCAGTTTCCTCATCTGTAAAATGGGCTGGAGAAGGAAATCACAAACCAGTCCAGTATCTTTGCCAAGAAAACCCCAAAAGGGGTCACAAAGATTCAGACACGACTCAACAACAAAAACACCTTCCTGACCGGGGGGTCCCAGCCTCGGGCTCTGCTGTGCTTAGCAGGGTCACGCACATCCAAAGGCAGGGGGAGGGTGGGCCACATCTGTTGAGGTAACCAGCAGGCTATCCCACAAGTTCTCTGATGCTGACAGCGAACAGGAAAAGAATATTAAACACTGAATACCTCCAAGATGATGGCGGGAGGGAAATGGACCCTTCCTCTCCTGTTGGGCCTTGACCGTTTGGTAAAATGACCCAGTGACCTGTGACATAAGAACATACCCTGCTCTGTCCGGCTTCCATGCTGAATGTCCCCCAATGTGGCCTCTGGATGATGAATACCCCGAAAGCAGGTCCCCCCTCTAAGACAGCAAGCGGGCTGTGAAGCGCACCGTAACATCACATCAGCCTCTGTCTGATGTGTTTCGCTATCCCCATTTCAGCCCTGGCAAAAAGGTCCCCACTGACCTGGAGAGTCTCTCGGAAAGAGCCTTGTGCCCAGCATACGTAATCAGTGCTGCTGAAATGCCTGGAATGAAGCAGACTGTGAGAGTCACGTGCCAGGCCACAGCTGCCTCTGGATGTGTGGCCCTGGGAACTCCTGCTCCCTGGAGAAGGTCAGCCACAGAGGCTTCTGGGAAAAGGCAGAGGAGAGCAACCCACCCTCACAGCATGGCCTGGAACGTGGCCAGACCGCAAGCCCTGTCACTGGGAGCAAGAGGACTTCTGCCACACCAAGGGGCATCCAATGGACAGACAGAGCACCTGTGGACATCTCTGGTTCATTTGGAGATGGCTATGGGTAGTCCGGCCCGAGGAAAGAAAGCATACTCACCTGTGGGCCACAGCCACGTGGTACCAACATTCAAGGCCTCAGGCCCCTCCAGAGCAGCCAGGAACCCGAGGACTGGGTGCTGATTGCCACAGTTTTGCCCTGGGACACAGAATGAGCTACTGGGAGTGCTGTCTCTCTAGTGGACTTGAGCCACCATGACCCTCGATGCCCCCCTTCCCACCTCCCCCATGCCCTGAGTTCTGTGTAGGAAGCAGATGAATGACACATGCTCCTACTCTAGTAAAGGTCAGGTTTAGAACCAAATAAATGTCTCTTCCATACCACAGTCAGGTGAACTGTACAGAAACATGAGCAGTCCAGACTCAGAGCCAAGTGCATCACCCACACAGACTCCGAGCTCATCCTCCTCACAGCTACTCAAAGGATGCATTCTGCCTCAGAACCCTTACCGCCAGGGCCAGGAGATCAGAGATCCGGAGCTGGAAGGGACCTCCCAGGCCACCAAATCCAGGCCAGAGGCCCCAGGAGGCCTCACGGCTGCTGAGCGGCAGAGCTGGGACCCAAACCTGGTGCTATTTCTACCGTATAGGTAGGTGGGAGGCTGGGGGAGGGAATTCTAAATCCCACACTTAGACGCTACTCCCCAGACATGATGACGGTCCATTTGGCACAGAAGAGATGGCTTCGTTTGGCTGGCACGGGGACAAGAACAGGGCAGTAGGAGAAGAAGGCACGTCCCACTGGGCCACTCCACAGAGGCAGGCCAGAAGAGAAACAAAGGCGGCTCTGGGAAGTGAGGAGTACGGTCTCTCACCCCATCACGTGGCTGGTCCTGGCAGGATTCAGTGGATGACCCAAATATGTAAACAAATACAGGAAATGCCAAACTGATGATTTCATGGACATAACCAGCTTGGGATGGAGGCAAAGGGCTGCTTCGACATTAAAAAGAGCTAAATAAACAGTGGGCTCTCAAGGCTAAACACCCAGGCCATGGAGGGCAGATGCCAGGCTCTGAGTCCCAGGCTAGACACCCAGGTGGGACAGAGGGGAGGACTCCAGGGACTCTGAAAAGCTGGGGTCAGGAAGGCACAGGCTGAGGCCAGACGTGCCAGAAGCAGGGACCAGGCAGGCTGAATGAGGATGCCAGCCAGCCACTCTGTGCAGAATGGCAGCTCTTTGCTACCAGTCAATCCCCTAACCTGGACCATATCCGCATCTTTCCACCTTCTCCACAAGACCCACTGGAGAGCTTTCTGAAACCCAGCTGGCCTAGCCTGATGGTAATGGCTCTTACAAAGTAGAGGAGAGTCCGTATGGCAGGACCCATCCAGAGGCAGCCAGGCCAGCTCTTGGGAACATACACAGAGAGCTCGCTAAAAGCAAACTGATGGAACTAAATTCAGGGAACTGAAAACAGAGAAAAGGTAATGAACATTCTCTGGGCACATGAGGGCTGGGGGAGTCCAGAATGCCACGTACATCACCAGCCCCAAGTCACAGAACTAGCAGCTCAGGCCAAGCTGCCTTCCTTTCTTACAAGGGAGGGTTCAATGGGTGTGGGGCAGTGGAGGGTGATGTAATATTCAGAAATGCCTTCGATGTAAAAATAAAAGGCACCCAAAAAGTTGTTTTTTTTAAATAGGTAAAAGAAGAGAAAGGGGGAAAATATGCCTGGCTTTTGGGGGTAGAAGACAATAATGTGATCTTGGGCTTCATTAAGAGGATGGAGAGAAGTGGTGAACCTGCTCTTCCCTGCCCTGCTGGACTCACTTCTTGGTGCCATAGTTTAGGAAGGATATAGATATATCTAGAGGAGAGTGACCAGGAATGGTGAGGGGCCTGAAAATCACAGAATTAAGGTCAAGTCACCAAACCTACTACGTGCCAGGCACGGTGTTAAATGCTGGGGAGACAAAGAAAGGAAGAAGCAGCTTAGACAGCATGCCAAGGAACAGCCAAGAGGCCAATGTCACTGGAGTGGGGCAGGGGCGGGGGGCCCCTTCGAGGTATACAAAGACTAGAAAGGCTAAAAGGGAACAGGGCTCAGAAGGACCTTAAAAGCCAAACAGAGGATTTTCTATTTGATCCTAGAAGTAAGAGTGAGCCCCCCAAGTTTAATGAGTATCAGACCAGATCTTCAGGAAGATCACTGTAGCAGCTGGGTAAAGGGTAGAATGGAGTGGAGAGAGACTCAAGGCAGGCAGACCCAGCAGCAGGAAGTTACAACAATGCAGGCATGGAGAAGGAGGTGTGCACGAGGGTTGGTTCTAAGGCACCACAGACAGAACCTGGCGACGGTCACATGAGGGGGTGAGGAATCAAAGATGATGCCTAGGATGCAAGCCTGTGGGACTAGGAAGGGATGATGGTGTCCTCAACAGGAACAGGGCAGTTCGGAAGAGGAGAGGGTTTGAGGGAGGCGGAAAGATAATGAATTCCGGTTTGGACAGGCTGAGTTTAAGATGTTCTGCAAACATGAAACTGGAGGTCAAGAGAGAGTTTGGGGTTTCTTTAAAAAACACACATACACTACTGGACGTTGAGGTTTATCTGGCCTCCGGTTCTGGGCAGGGAAAGCTGTTCAGGGCAGACGGGGCCCCTATCTTTTCACTGAACTAGAGACCAGGGAAGGTAAGGGCTGGGCCACATACACTCTCATCTCTCCAACTAGCCACTGAGTCCTGACATCCAGAAGAAAGGCCATGTAGGTCCTCTGGGGAAAGGTCTGTCCTAGTGGAGCAGAGTTAAGATGGCAGAGTGAGAACTTAGCAACTCTGATACAGCTCCCCAAGAACCTCTTCCTCAATGACCCAAAATATTCTGAGCAGAAAGTCAAGAAAAAAAAAATCACTGAGTCATTCTTCCAACCCAGAAGAGCTTAGGGAGATAGACAGAGAGGTCTGTAGACTCCAGGATGGGGGACAGCCAGGAGTCCGGCACAGTGGAAGGAAGTGGCACCGGGGGGTGGCAGCAGTGGCATCAGGGAGCAGCTCAGTGCCCCAGGATGGTGTGGGGACGGAAAACTTGGGCAAAAAGAAACACCAAGAGACCCCTATACTAGCATTAGGTGTAGGATCAGATGTCATTTGGCAGCTCTGTCACCAATTAGCCGGTTCTGTGTCTCAGTTCCAGGACAGAGAGCAGCAGTCCTGGTCACAAGCAAAGGGAATCCCGGCTTGCAAGGTGCTGACGTCCCAATGCGGAGAGGGGAGACAAAGGGGAGCATGACCAGGGGAATGACAGGCAGGGATGGCAAGAGGAAATAAAGGCTAGAGGACTGGCCCACATCCTTTTTCAGCAATAGTCATGTGGACTTTGTCACTGTGCCCAGAGTTAGACACAGGAAGGGACACGGAAAAGCAAATACAGTGAATGAACATCGGCAGTCAGAAAAGATGGAGACTGGAGGCCAGAGTGCAGAAGCATGCTCTCAAGGTGGGAGAGTGGAGAGAATCCATTAAGCTCCTACTGTGAGCCAGACACTGGGCTGGGACTTGAGATACAAAGAGAAAAGGAAACCAGCACCTGCCCTTAAGAAGTTTATACTGCTGGGGGCAGCTAGGTGACACAGTGGATAGAGGACTAGCCTTGGAGTCAGGAGGACCTCAGACACTTGATACTTACTAGCTGTGTGACCCTGGGCAAGTCATTTAACCCCACTGCCTGCCCCCACCCCCCAAAAAAGTTTATACTGCATTAGACAAAAATAACAGTTACACAGAAAACAGAATAAAACTATATGCAAAAACTGTATGTGCAAAGCATGCAGTACAAAGTGATCTCTTTGTTGAAGGCACATGCAATTGCAGTGATAAGGTAGGTTTCCTATAAATAAATAAATGGATGGATGGATAGACAGACAGACAGACAGATAAACAGAAGCTGGAAAGAGGGAGAGGGATTTCTATGGGCAGCACCATAGTGCTAAAATGAGCAGGAAGTAGCATAGAGACCTGGTTCTGGACAAGAGAAGGTATCAGAGCCAAAGCACCCAGGGATAGAAACCAAGGTTGTGGTGGGGGAAAGGGGAAAGAAGGTGCTAGTCAGGATGTAAGCTCCACAGTGAGGA